AAAAAGGTATGGTTTGATATTATGTATATTTATTAAAATTAAGCAATTACAAATACATTCTTTCTTTATATTGTCTAATTTGAAAGAAAAAAATTAAATTTGTTTATCCGTTCTTGAAAAATTATTTCTGAGGCAGAAAATAATCTAGTTATATTATTTTGTTAAATTTCAACAGAAAGGAGAATAAGTGCAAGAAACAAAAAAAAAATAACACTGTATCTAGTTAAGATGCCCCAGCGCCGCCTTTATATTAAATAAATCAAATTTTATTACATTAAATTAGGGCCTTTACCAATTTCTGAAACCTTACTAGTTTTATCAAATTTTGAAAAAAAATATGTTTTAAATAATTTTACTACCACAGGTAAAACAAAGCTTTAAAACATACAAGTTCATATAAACTTTTATTTTCTTTTAATTTTTGCGAGTTCTATCGACTACTACCAATCAGTTTAATATCTTCGCTTTCAAATTTTTTTGAATTACGTATAATGACAAATCGTCTAGTTGCATTTTTTAATAAACGCAACTTATTTAGTGAGTGTCAGCATGGCTATTTGTGAGGTAGGTCTGTAGAAACTGCGGTGCACAACTCCGCTCACGAAATATTATCGAGTTTTGACAAAAACGATCACTGTATGGGTATATTTTTAGATCTATCGATAGCCTATGATTGCCTTAATCATAAATTATTTTTAAATAAACTTAAGAAATATGGGGTGAGGAGAAATGCATTGCTGTGGATGTGGATAAAAGTAAAAAGTTTTTGGAAGTTTACATTGATGAAAATTTAAACTGGAACGTACATGTTGAACAACTTTGCAAAAAACGTTATAAACCATATTACTCCTTTAGAGTAATTCGATCGTATGTGGAATTTCAAACTTTAAAAACATTGTATTTTGCAAATATTCAATCCTTGTTGAGATATTGTATCATTTTCTGGGAAAAGTACTAATGTGTAAGATATTATCGTAATTTTCGAAGTAGGGCAGATCGACTCATGTAGAGGTATTTTAAAAATAAACAAAATTTTAACCATTTATGGTTTTTATACTTGTGAACGTCTTATTTATTTATAATAACAAAATTTTATTTTAAGATCCTAAATCTTTAAGCACAAGACATAAGTATTATTATTACCCTTATCATAGGTTATCAATATATAAAAAGGGCTCTTTTTATGCAAGTGTAAAATTTTTATAGTTTACCAACTGACATTAAAGAAATTAACAACTTAAATTTACTTAAGAAAAAATTGTTTGACTATTTTTGTGATATGGAGCCATACTCCTTTCAGGATTTGTTTTTGACTTTTTTGTATATATAATTATAATTGTAATTTTATGTATGTGCAAATTTTTAAAAATAAACAATATAATTATTATTACTGTATTTTTTCGATTAAAATAACCCTGTGGGAAAGGCACCCTATTGTTATATTTTTACAATAGTGATTACTCGGCCACTGGGAAAAAGGTGTAATGTGAAAGTAGAACTTTTGATCCCTTACTTCATAGCATTTGACTTTCAATCGCCAACATTAAGCTGTGGACGGCAGTTTCTTTTAAAACGCGGTTTAGCGCGACTTTTGCCGTAGGTTTGAAAGCCTTATTTGTGACGGGTTTGGCTCCCTTGGTCTTATTATTTGTTCTAATGTGATTACATAGTATGTTAAATGCTATGTTCCAATAAATAATATTTTTTCTACTCCCACCTTAAAAACGCCCTTTATCGTACATGTCTCCATGACACTAAGTGACCTTTTAAATACACATTGACAAGTTGTGGCTTTATGGAGCGTTAGTCATGGGCTGAAGTTAGCAACAGGTTTTTAGTCACGGGCTAAATATATTTTTAAGTTAGTTGACAGTTGCCAAATGTCATAAAATCGTTAAAATAATGTGTCTTTCTTGTAAAATAATACTAAATGTGAAAATTATTTTAATACCTATCTCAATAAAAAAATACAAAAGTATTAAATAGTTTCTCAACGCCAATATTTGAAAAGTTTATATGAACATTGTACTGACCTTTTAATTTCGCCGGCAGTAAAATATAACTTAAATTCGGGCACGGACTCCACTGTAAAGTCCTCATAAAACATTTTCTTTACTTTCACTGTGAAAAACTGTCAATTTTCAAGAAATACATTTCGATTTATAACCTTTATAATCTGTGTTTATAAAATATAAAAATGTGACATTTGACGGTGACACACAGATTCCCCTATTGTTTCATAGATGGCGATGTATACAAATTTTTGATTTAAATCATTTTAAGATAATAAAAGGTATTTGTCGTAGAAAAAGTATAGTATGCACCTCGTTTATAAACTTTTCTATACCCTCATTAATTTAAGCACTCGCTCGCAAGCTCGCTCGTGCCTAAATTAAATTCGGGTATAAAATGGCGTTTATCAAACTTGAAACATAATATACTATTAGCAGTTAATTTTTTTTAGAGCAAAAATACATTACAGTTTTATGATTATTTAAAAACCTTTAATATTATCTTAATATTTTTACCAAAAATAACTGGGTTAAAAATATAACTACAATTAAAAAATATTATACAAGTACATTTTTCCAAAGTAGAATTTGTTCTTATAAATAAATGTAAATTGATTTTTAACACAACTTAGTTTTTAATTACCAGTTAAGCCATAGATGGCGATGTATACAAAATTTTGATTTAAATCATTTTAAGATAATAATAGGTATTTGTCGTAGAAAAAGTATAGTATGCACCTCGTATATATATTATAAACTTTTCTATACCCTCATTAATTTAAGCACTCGCTCGCAAGCTCGCTCGTGCCTAAATTAAATTCGGGTATAAAATGGCGTTTATCAAACTTGAAACATAATATACTATTAGCAGTTAATTTTTTTTAGAGCAAAAATACATTACAGTTTTATGATTATTTAAAAACCTTTAATATTATGTTAATATTTTTACCAAAAATAACTGGGTTTAAAATATACTACAATTAAAAAATATTATACAAGTACATTTTTCCAAAGTAGAATTTGTTCTTTTAAATAAATGTAAATTGATTTTTTAACACAACTTAGTTTTTAATTACCAGTTAAGCCATTAAAAAAGGCATTACTGTATAAGGTAATAAAACAGCTTGTTTTGAGTTTACGCATGTTTTAAAGCTGTCAACGAGTTAAAAAGTCGTAAATTAACTGCAAATTTATTATACAGGGTGTTTCTTTTAACTTGAGACAGCTCAATATCTCGAGAAATACGCATTTCACGGAAAAATGTCTTAAATAAAAGGTTAATGTGACTCCTTAAGGGTGAAACGGGGGGTAACTTTGGAAAGTCAAATGGAATGACCCGATTTTTTTCACAGAGTTTGTAGTACATAAAAAATAAATAACTTTTATTTAAAACTTTTTTCAATTTATCAACAGATGGCGCTGTAATTCAAAATTTAAGAAAAATGAGTTTCCTTGTAAAATGTATTATTTGAAACGTTTGAAAAACAAAAATTAACATTAACAACAATAGTCGGCTATGAAAACAATTTATAACAAATGTTCGAAATGTCGTCATTCCATTTCAACACATTTTTGAATGCGGGTAATGAATTCTGGCACACAACGCGCCAACATATCGGGCGGTATCGCCGCACAGGCGTTCCTGATCCGCTCCACCATGTCCTCCCAAGTTGTAGGAATTGCAGCGTAAACTTTTTCTTTCAAGTAACCCCACTGGAAGAAGTCTGGTGGCGTAAGATCAGGTGATCGAGCAGGCCAAATTACTGGACCACGTCTACCGATCCACCGCGGTGCACCGGCCATTGAACTCCCGATCCAACACCTCTCGAGCAATTGTCGAATGATGTGCAGGACAACCATCTTGCTGGTACCACATGTTTTGGAGTCGTGCTAGTGGTACATCCTCCAAAAGGTCCGTCAGATCGTTTTCTAGAAAATTTCGGTACTTTTCGCCATTTAATGCACCGTCAATAAAGAGGGGTCCGATTAATCGTTCGCTTAAGGTACCGCACCAAACGTTTACCGACCAGGGACGCTGGTGCTCCACTTGGTGTCGAAATGGAAGGACGACATTTTGAACATTTGTTATAAATTGTTTTCAGAGCCGACTATTGTTGATTTAATGTTAATTTTTGTTTTTCAAACGTTTCAAATAATACATTTTACAAGGAAACCCCTTTTTCTTAAATTTTGAATTACAGCGCCATTTGTTGATAAATTGAAAAAAACTTTTAAATAAAAGTTATTCATTTTTTTATGTACTACCAAACTCTGTGAAAAAAATCGGGTCATTCCATTTGACTTTCCAAAGTTACCCCCCGTTTCACCCTTAAGGAGGGGTAGGGGGTGGCTAGCGGTAGCACCAAATAATGTCCCCTTTGGTCACATTAACCTTTTTTTTTAAACATTTTCCCGTGAAAAGCGTATTTCTCGAGATATTGAGCTGTCTCAAGTTAAAAGAAACACCCTGTATTTATAGTGAACCTTTTTTGCATTTTGATTGTAAAAACATCGGTAATAGTATATTAAAAAACTAATGTCATAAGAGGTCATTTTGTCGCACGCAGACAATTTATAAAACAAGCGATGAAGGATCGAGTTTTGTAATGGACGAGGGCGACAAAAGGTCTTATGACATGAGTTCTTTATGCAATTTTATCTATTTTGCAGAAATTCTATAAAAAAAAATAATTTTATACCTTAAATTTAATTTGGTCGAATTTTACTTTAGATAGTTGGTAGCACAGTAATTGGTTTGACAGTTAATTTCAAAATCGATTCGCCATGCCGTCCTTTACAATAAGCGGCTGTTAATGTTAAAGAAGAAAAAAAGGATTTTCTTTGGTGTTAAACAAAATTTATTGTCAGAAAAGTCTTGTAAGTACTAAAAAAATCAGAAATATATTATAACCAGTATGTTACGAATTAGCTTCTTCTTGTACCTCGTTTGACCTGTACCAGTTCCCAACGCGAACCTATTCCAGATACCTATTCCGGTTCCTGCCTATTCCGACCCAAATTCTCGGTTGTAGGCATTCTAACTGGAGCTGGTTCAGCTGGGTAAACATAATCAGGTGACTCTCGCAATGTCGCAACAGTATAAAACTATTACGAATACGAAGCAGTATTGAGTATTTACATTTAGTTTCTCGATGCCGAAATCAATGCGGTAATATGTGATATGTTTGGATACCTACCTTATCTTTTATTTATTGCTTTTTTCTGATAAAAAAATACAAATATTCCATCCATTTTTCTCTTGTAGTTTATTTATTAGTCTCATCAATAGCCATAATTTGATAAATAATTAATATTAAAGGAAACGTACCGTACCTTATCATGAAATCCAGGATTTACCGGTTATAAAGTGAAATAACGCGGCAACCGGCAACGACGCCGATTCAAGAAAATACCTACTGCAGTTCCAATCGGTTTTATTCGCTATTGACCGTCACAGGCATCGTGAATAGAATAGACATGAGTATCATGAGAATAGATTGCACTGAAACCTATTCCACTGTAACATCCCTAATACTCAAAATCCTCAGAAATTAAACGTTTGGGCTAGTATTTTTGGTGATTACATATTTGGAACATTTTTCTTACCGGGAAATTTAAATGGAGCTACTTACTTAGACTTGTTGGAGAATACCGTCAACCCAGAGCTGATCGAAATTATGGAAAACGACCTACGTTACCATAAAGAAAATTCGATATTTCAGCAAGGGGAAAAGTTTCCTGGGAGATAAATTAGGAAAAGGGGTGCTATCGAATGCCCCTCAAGATCACCGGATTTATCTTCCCTTGATTTCTTTTTGTGGGGACATCTAAAATCCAAAATGTATGCCACCGAGCCTGCATCCGTAGAAGATTTACAGAACCGCATCCTAAAATGAATGTGCTTTTTTACATACAAAGTCGTAAACCTTGCTAGACTGTTTTTGATGGGCCACCCTATATTATTTAAAAACTAATCTAAAAGTTTAAAAGTGCGAAGTGAACTGCCACCCTACCTGTCAAAGTCACGGAACCACCCACCTGAACAGGTAGTTCATCGCGGCATGAACCAGGAAGAAACCAATTACAAGGGTACAAGGAGCCTACGGGTGTGTTTATACCACAGACCTACAAACAAGATGGACCAGTTTATTTACATTGAAAAGAGTGGCCAGGAACAAAAATAAATATTTTCCCTCAGTTGTCACATTTGACTTTGAAGTTTCTATATTTTACGTAAAAGATACTTGGAATCCACAACATTTAATATTTTTTGTTTGATTTTATAGTGAAAAATACCAATAGTGAGTGATATAAAAATGGTGAAGCAGTGCTACGTTTGTAAAAGACTTGGATCCAAGAATTTAAAACTTTCTTTTCATAGGTTAGTTTATTTACAAAACAAACCCTGCCAGGAGCGTAGAAACTGAATAAATAAATGAATTTACTTAAATTTTAGATTTAAAGAGCCAGATTCTACATCATCTGGAACACTAACTGACAAGGTTAGTATTTTGTTATACCTATATATTTATATATATTAAATATAATTTTTACATAGGATTGCAAAACACAATAAAAAATGTACAATTTAATATTTTTATTTATCCCTAAAAACAGAACGCCACTGGTGTGGGAACTTGTTTATAAATACCCCTTACCCCTTTACCCCTAATCTAAATAGTTCTTGGCAACAAAACATTGTGTATTTTGAATAGGAAAGGGCCAGTCCATTTTGTTTGTAGGTCTGTGGTTTATACCTTCCCAAGTGACAAATCCGTAAAAATCAGGAAAGAGTTGAACAGGGTTAACGAACCTCTACATTAAATAGACCAAAGATACCGAATGCACAGGCAGTATAAGACGTAACAGGTAGTACTTAATAAACACATAAATCTTCTGTAAGTAATCAAACCATTTTCTAATATTTTGCCTTAATATACAAACTGGAAGATCTTCTCGAGTATAAAAAAGTAAATAGTAGAAGCAGTAAAAATAAATAAAAATGAAATTTCTTGATTGTTAAATATGAAAAGAAAACGTAAACACAAAAACAACGAAAAGTCGTTTTCAATAAATAGTTCCCCACTACTTAATAGTTAAATTAATAATTATAGGGATTGCTTAGGTGAGTGAACAAAAAACTATTCTAAAAAAATTTTAAACCAAACCCAATAATGACTGCCATTCGGTAAAATTTGTTTAACCATTAGGGACTACCTTTCCGCTGGGACAAAGAGTCAATAACTCATAACGAGTCATTTTAAGTATTTCTAAGAGTGTGGGGAAAGTAAAAACAACACCCCTGTGGGGCAAACAACTGCGTGCAGCAGATTCCGGATTCCAGCAAGGATGTCCAAGTTACGTACTAATAACCCATGCCTCATTCATGAACCCCAATTGAATGGGGTCATTACTAAAACCCTGGTTGAGGGGGAGTCCAGATTGTACTTAATTTTGGGTCAGTTCAAGGCCCCCAAAAACCAACTGTTGTCCCTCCTTGTCCTACACTCCACTATCCTAAATCGGGTGTATGGTCGGCCCCGCGACAAAATTCCGGGAATGGCCCTCACCATCGACATTGTCATTCACGACCTCCTAGGAAAGATTACCTGCTGGGGTGAAAATTCGGATCCACCAAACACAGGTAACGCTGTGCTGTGGAGGGATACGTATAGAACCGAAAGGGGGTAAAATCAGTGTAAGGCGTAGCCCATGGGGCCTGCCGTACGTTCTTATACTCATACTCATACTAATACTCATACTAATATTTTAATGTATAATGTATAAAAATAGTTTCCAATCATTTAAACCTAATATATTTATTAGTTATAAAATAATGAAAATTAATTTCAATTTCAATTAAAATTAAAACCGTAATAGAAAAATGTATACATGTGAAAATTTATATGCTTATTTAGTCTAATTAAAACGAAGTATTTATTTAGCAATAAAAATAAATTGCATACAATTATAAATCATTTGTAATGATGAGTTTGCTAGCAAATATAGTTTTTACATATGTATAAGTTTCCTATTCCCGATTTACTAGCAAAATATAGTTTACATATGTATAAGCAAAAAATATAGATTACAAAACTAACGGACAGATTTGGTGACGATGATCAAGTAGCTTGATTTTACAGGGAAGTGAAAAACAAAAGCTATAGGTTTGCGGCACCCGGGCGTGCGATACAAGCTGAATACATAAAGACACGAAAACAGGGGTAGGCTCTGGATGATGCTGCGCACTATAAAACATGTATTATACATTCAGTGCCTTTCGTGCAGATTAAAAGGTTAGATTGTGTTAAGGAATACAGGAAAGATATTTCGCTTATATGATAATACCCGGAGCTATTGTAAATTATTTACAAACTTTTGCTTTAATCTTGGGTTTGCCCTAAGAATAAATTTGAAACGGAAACATTGTCGAAAAAATTATCAAGTGGTAAAATTATTTAAAAAAATTAAATAAGTCATATAATCATAGTTCGAGAAATGACTTCTAAGTGAGCTAAAGCCCCCAGTAAAGCCCCTTTATATTATATACAGGGGTGTTTCTTAAATTGATGACCGATTTTTAAGAAAAAGTTCATACAAACTTAGGTCCGTATCCGCTTTATTTTAGAGATAAAGGGTGTACAAGTACACCAAAAAAAATACTTTTTACTTTTATTAAATTTAATTTTACTAGAAAAGTGTGCATCTACTCAGGTTAAGACAAAACACCTTTTTATAAAAAAAAACTTTATTATTTAATAATGTTGACCAATAAGTCAATGCACAAATTAGTTGGATCAATTAATAATAACTTCAACTTTATTTTATTAAAAATTTGGCTAATATTTGGGACTGAAAAAAATAAGTGTAAAAACCATATTTTTATGCTGTTATTTAAAAAAAGTAAGAGAGTTAGTGTTGAGAATTGTTAGTTATATAATTTTTTTTCTTATTATTTATATATATTATAACATTGTAATTTTAAGCTTTTCACTAGTTTAGTTATAAAAACCATTTCATTATTTTTAGTTAACAATAAAAAAGTTTTAAACAGAATTTTACTATCCATTACCTATGCAAATATCTTTTTTGGATGTATTAAAATCCAAAAAAAAAACTCACCTTTTTTATTATTTTTTATTTTTTTACTTCATATGCAAATGGGAAATCTTAAATTTTGTCATTTTCATACCCCTTTTTCTTAAGCTACAAACATTTTATCTATTATAAAAATTCTTATGGTAATTTGATTTTATTGAGTGTGTTTTTAATATTTATTGTAAAAAAACTATTTTGTAAATTTTTTTGCTAATTTATACAATACGTTAACGATGTTTTAAATTTTTGGACTTTTGTTTTCTTAGGAAAAAAATTAGCAGCCTGCCCCCCAAAATCATTAGGTAAAAAAAATTAAAAATTTAAAAATTTTCAGAAAATATATTCCCTATTTTTATCTTTTTTGAACCAATTACTCTTCTTCTGCTATTTTTCTGTTTTGAAAGAAAATATTGGTGGTCTATTTATCTAAGTTTAGATGATTTTGTAGGAATGTCAGAACTGTCAAAAATATTTAAAATTTTCGTACAACCCCACAACTTAAATAATTTACTTAAAGTAAAACGTCACAGTTATGGAATTGCATGAGATTAAGTTGTAGTTGCTATAGTTACAGTTGTGCTAGGGAAATTTTGCTTGTTTGGTTTTATTACTAACACTATGGTGACGTCATTCCTTAAGTGGTAAAGTAATTAAGCACTCGCGGAAAAAAAGTTTCGTGCGAAACTTCTTTCGCTTGTGCGTAAATTGCTACTTACCACTCTTGTTATGTAAATTACTATTTCGTGACGTTTTACACAGATCTAATTTTGATTTTTTTTAATTTTAAGATTTTTTAAAGAAAGGTCCAAAAAACCAAAAAACAACGTCAACGTATTCAATTAAAATATAAATAATATATAAGAAATAAGTAGGTAATAAACTAAAAGTTGCAAAAAATAGCAAATTATAAACAAAGTTTAATTGGTCTATCTTTTTATTGTTATAAAACATCTAACAAATACGTACAATAAATAATAAAAACACATTTTTTAGTAGAAAAAATTGTA